GCTCTAAAAGCAATCCACAATGAAGTGAATGGATATAGTGATAAAAAATTAAATAAATTATAAATTCTGTAACTATCAGTGTTTTCTTACTGRGAACAATTGTTTCAGAGTATTCTGAGATGGCTACATTTTTCTGGCCRTCAGGTAAATATTATGAATGTGAGTTGTACAGCATGCTGAAAATAGCACCTCTCAGCAATAATTACACAGCCCATCTGTATTCTCCTCGGGGAATTTAAAATCATGTCATATACATCCTTTACAAATGCCTTAACAATTCCACAAAACCACAAAACAGAACACAAAGAAAAGGAGACTCAAAAAAACCCACTGCATGTCTAGATCCTACAATACAAACAATGTTTTGTTCTTTTATTAGCAGACCAAAAAAATTTCATAGGAAATTGCTTGGAGTTGGAGGAAAAATAAGAAATTTCAATTTCCCTAACGAAATAAAATATTTCATTTCATATGAAGTTTCCACTTTGGAGGCCTGTCTGAAATTTAGAGTTTAGGCTAGAATTTTAACTCTTAATCCAGGCTCAGATTTCTTTTGTTACCTAGCACAGAAGGGAGTAGATCAAGGACTCTGGTATAAGGTGTAAATTCCCTCCAACAGTTTATTCAAGCCCATCCTAATCACAGTCTGTCCCACCACCCTATTTCAAAGGGCACTGGAGGCCTTGGTCCCTCAGCAGATATGGGAAGACCCACACAGACCCRACACAGAAACGTGTCGCTTGGCAGCCCTCACTGTACTGGCACAAACCCCACTGATCTCCAAATGCTCTCACATTTCTTCTTTCCTAGGCTTGAACTTGAACCTGAACCCCCACAAGACACAACAGAAGTCAAGTGCAGGGAGCAGGTCCTCCAGCAGTGAGTGGCACATTGGAGATGAGCCATATGAGGCCTTGGCTTCCATTTCAGCCTTCTCAAGACTTCCTGGTTCTTCAATCTCCATGTTTCTCCCTAAACCAGYTTCCTTCATCCATTTGCTCCCAAGAGCTCGAGAGAATATGTGAACTCACGTTGCAATTCCCCTAGGCACATCTCCACAGAAATGTCTCTTGCCAGYCTCCATGGCATTTTCAAAACCCTATTGGACATCACTGTGGGAAGGCACCTTGGATTTCTCCTTTCCGGGGTCTAGCTCAGCCTCAGGCCTAGCAGGAGCAAGAACATGACAGTATACACGTCTCCAAGCAATGAATGACTAGTTATTCAGAGAGAAGTCAAACCCACCACGGGTTTCCACGTCAGSCCTTGACATGGGCTTGTCTCCTGGGCTGGGCTCCTGCCCTCCCTCTTCCAACAGCCACCCCAAGCTCCCTGCGCCCCAACGTGTGTCATGCTCCCTCCTACATAAGGCCTCAGACACCTGGCTCTTGCCAGCCCTCATCCAACTTTCACAACCCACACTGGACCACTCCAGGAATTCCTGCCCTTCTCCTTCCCAGGGTTTCTCCKTTCCTTCCCACATGTCACCTAAGGGCTGTAAGGCTAAGAACAGAGAAGACGAAAGCTGTAAAACAAGTAATTTTAAAGGCCCTCCTGGTTAGTCTCCTTTCCCCATCTGTTTTGATGAACTCAGCATACCATCTTTCTTTTTTCTTATGGCTGAAATTCTGTAAGCTTGTAAGTTCTTTCACCATTTAAGCCCCTTCAAGCTTAATCTGAATAAACTGAGATTTAGGCTTACCTTTTGATACAACTACCTTAATACTCCTGATGTCTTTATCACACGTAGTTTGAGGGCTAGTGGAGTTGTTATATAAGCCATGATYCCATTACAAGGTTGAAAAGTGCTGTCAGTGGGCAAAGAGCTATTCTCATTTCTGCTGGGACTTGCCGTGCATGTATATGCACTGTGAAGTCTCAGCTCCTTTGGAATTAAGTTAATTTAAATGATCTGTTGAGTTTGGGGCTAGTTTGCAGCCTTCTATTCAGTTTGTGTTCTCAGCATAAATCATAACAGCTCCTTTATTATAAACCACATGCTGTCAATGCATATTAAAAATCACATGCATTTGCTTATTATAGGTAAAATAAAAAATCTTAACATTAAGTAATAACAGCTCTCTAGATATGAGTTATTCTATAAACTTCAGTGAAAAGTGCTTTATCTTCTATATAAAGGGCCTATTCAAGCTTTCACTTCTAAAAGTGAAAATAATGCCATTTAAGAGAGTCTTCTGAGTTAGGAGCGTTAGGCAATACTGAATGATAGCAAACTATTACACTTATTCACTACTTCTCAATTCAAGAGCTCCTTCAGCTAAGTTCTACCCCAGAATAGTCCTCAGCACTAGTCTGGCAAAGTATTTATACACCTAGGCCACTAAGCACAGAATACATCCAGCAGAAGAACAGGTCTGGAAAAAAAGAGGAGGAAATGTGAGGAGGGAGAGGAGAGAAGGTGCTTAAGTCACCACTGCTGTCACTTTTTTATTGGCCATCCTACACCCTCAGTTATCTGGATTCTTCTGAACTGTTTGAGCCAAGTTTCATAGGGAGCTTTGAGCCAAGCTTTCTTAGGTGAGCAGTAAATCCCTGRAAAGATGGATTTATCACAGGGACACGGTCACAGGCCTGGCTGTAGCACCACTACTGGGTGCGGCGATGATCATGTTAGATGGTATTATGGATGGCTAAGGAGGTTTTGTGGGCCTGATTGTTGCGACTGCCTAATTTATAGTGTTCCTGTCAAGGAGGAATCAAATTTCATAGTTATGACATTTCTTTCTGGAGCACTAAATGTTAACTTTGCTGATCACGCAAATTTTGCTAGAACAGCTAACTTCTAAATGGCAAACGTGATATAAAAAGCATAATGACTTCACTGAAAACCTTTACAAAGCAGCTGACACTCACACCTATAGAAAACAGGCCAAGTGGTATTTTAGTCAGAGGATAGAAATAGATAAACATTCAACATATTTAATTCATTTTTCTCAATTTAAGTAACCTTACAATGTCCTAATTTCACTATATGTAAAGCAGTCTTTTGTACTTATCACATGAACTTAAATACTGTAATAATAAAACAATATCTCATATTGTTGATGGATAACACCAGCAGCAAGTTTCACATGTTTCTTTTTGTACAAGGATTTCATTTTCATCGATAGTTGTTGAGAATCAGAAGACTGTAAATATGGGAAAGGAAAGGAAAAAAAAAGAAGCCTCATACCACAATAAAATTAATATATAGCTTCAGCACTCAGTATAAATAACAAAGATACAGCATGACGTGCCAGGTGAGAGTAACAGCACTGGGTGCACGTGGCCCCTCTGTCGCATTAGCTACTGCTGTATTTTCCTCTAGATCATGCAGGAATAATTCCCACCAGGAAGCTGGCAAATCCTRCTGTTGCTGGGGAGATCCTGCCTATGCTCTACTGCAGGTGCTGCAGAAAGCTGAGCAGACACCAGCAAGAGCCTGCCAAAGAGCAGGCTCGAAATGTAACTGCTTGCAAAAACTCTCAGATTTATTACAAAAAACTAGCGKGGTTTGCAAGGATATATTTAATCTTCACTTAGACACAGTGATAGCACCTAAGTTATAATCAAATCTTATGAAGTTATTTGCTGCTACACGTATTCTAAGCCTGTGTTTAAGTTATGGGTTTCTCAAGAAGTCTCTGGAGCAGTTACAGAAAAGGTTACTAAGTGAAAGTAATGGAGCCTCTATTAATTTCTAACAGCTCTATGACTGAGATATCAGATGTATCTACCACCTATTCAACATCTATTCACCACGGATGTGTTTTTAAATACTTAAATCCTAAGTAGTCACGAACAAGGAGAAAAACCCTCAAACTGCTTTTACCAGTCTCTCACAATCAAATGACAATAAAATATAAACAAAATCAAAAAGAGATTTTATTTGGTGCTACTGTCCCGGGTGACACAGATTTTCTCGCTTTCTTCAAAACATACTTGGTTGTAAACTATTATTTTCTTTCCCTGCTTAGTGTAGAAACAAATTTTTCTGCCATAGCAAGTTGCAGCAATAAAAAGTACAATGCAATCCTAATTAATTTATTCTTATAATATCTCCACAGCATTAAACTGTGCATGAGTAACTTTTCCTATGCTAAAGACACTTTACCATTAGATGTTTTATAATTAAAACAAAAGAGATTCAGTGAATTAGTGCATATGAGCAAAATCAAAATAAAGACATATACTCATCCAGATAGTTCTGTTTATATAGAATTGCCATACTTAAAAACATACAGGAAAATGGACTAAAATAACTGTCTTATAATATTGGCAAAATTTGGCTTTCCAGAAAGAAACACGCAGGTGGTATGGATAAACATTCATAAGTTAGACTGATTGGACACACAGTGCTTTAGAGAATCCCACAGTAACTATCCTTCACGTGCAGTATCCCTCATCTCTTTCCTCTTCAAAAATGTCTTGTCTCATCATATTTTTAAATCTGACAGGACTTCAGCTCTCAACACAGGTAGGAAATTTTCTTAACAAACTATTAGGAAGGCAATACCAGAAACCTTTTGAAAGTGTAGATGCATTTTATCCATCCAGAAAGCAATGTGGCCAGGGCTTCTGCATCAATAAGGTACTTTGAATGGTTTTCTCCRTTATCATTCTATTTTACAGGGGTACTGCAATACAATGCTTGGCATCTACAGCAGTTTCTTTTAAGTCTAATATGAAAGTTTCACTTCAACAGCACTTTGGAATAGCTTTTCATCTTTAACAGATTCAGAATTGCTTGTTCCTTTGTATCTAGTGAGTGCTAATATCTGGTTTTAATTACACATTTGTAGATACAGAAGAGCATCTTACCCCTTTAACTTGACTGTTCTTATATATCCCTATCTGCTAAGCAGGACCTTCAGCCTAGGAGTGCTCAGGGGCATAGAAGCCCACAGGTTTGTGTCTTCCCTCAGAGGTCACGGTGAAGGTCTCCCTTATCCCTTAGCCACAAAAACAGACGTCTCCCAGATGCTAAGGATGCCTCTTACCTTTATAACAGAGGCGCCCGCCCTGGACAGGGGGCTGTGCATGTGGGCCGCCGCCGCCATGTTGGCTATGGTGTTGAGGTGATTCATCTGGTTCATGGCCATGGCGACCGAGGCAGGAGGTAGGCTCACGGGAAGCAGCGGGTGCGGCATCATCATGAAGGGCAGGTCTATCCCTGGAACAGAGCACGGGGAACCTTCAGCATGTGAGCCCCCCACTGTAAAACCCAGCTCCTAACCTGCCCAGGCCTACGCTGGCTTCCAGACTCATCGTTATTGTGTGTTATCACAGAATCACAGAATGTGTTATCACAGAATCACAGAATGTTCAAGGCTGGAAGGGACCTCTAGGGATCATCTAGTCCAACCTTCCTGCCTTTACATTCCAGGAGAGGACATGAAGCTTACACTGGTGAACAAGCACACCGTTGTAACGCAGCAAACAATATCAGCAAAACACACAGGCAACAGTGCACAAGTTCAGGCACCTCTTCAAAAGCACAAGGCATGCAGGTACTTCTGAAAAATAGTTTCATATTTTCAAAAAGAAGTCATAATTTCAGAAAAGATTTTCATTTCCAAAAACATCATCTCAAATGGTCATCTACTATCTTATATAAAACAATTAAAAAAAAGGTGTTTGCTCCTCCCAGGCAGATCCTGACATTTCCAGCATGGTACTTTTCCTGTTAGTAAGAATCAGATTCCAGAGCYTGCATTTTGTTAATACCTATTTCAGCAGGTGTATCACACAGAATGACAGAATGTTCAAGGTGGGAAGGGACCTCTAGAGATCATCTAGTCCAACCTTCCTGCTCCAGCAGGGACACCCAGAGCACGGGGCACAGGGCGGCATCCAGGCGGGTTTGGAAGATCCCCAGAGAAGGAGCCTCCACAGCCTCCCTGGGCAGCCTGTGCCAGGGTTCTGTCACCCTCAACTTTTCATATTTACTTTTCATATAACTTTTCATATTTACTAATGACTACAATACAGAGCAAGACAAATAAACCAGTTCACATAGAATTCTTTAGAGTCTACTTGAAAACATCTTCCTTTGGGTATCCAAAATTATTTTTTCAGCAAAAACAACTCATTCTGCCCATCAAAATGCCTTGTAATTCTTCTAAATGCATTTTAGATTAGAAATTCTCACCACAAACTTGAGGCGCAAGTGGCAACTAGCATGGTTATATAGCCAGTCATAACTATGTGCTATGCACATTAATTATTTTTATTTTTTAAAAGACTTTTGGCTCTATTTTAATCATTATAAATCACAGTCACTCTCATTTTTCATTCCAATTTCATTTTCCTATGATGGAACCTACAAAAACATCACTGACTGATTTAGCATATGTTAGTCCAAAGTAATCTATTGATTAAACAGATACAAAAAGCATCATTTTGCCACCACAAAAGGACTGAATATACTCCAGGCTTCCACACTACTTCTGTTCAGCTCAAGTATATTACAGTCAACTCCTGGGATGTCTTATGATTCACTCTATTTTGCTTACGGGGCAATCCATGTCAATGAAGACTATGATAGGTGATAAACTAAGCCCACGTACATCTCCCTTCACTTTAAACCTCACTACGAGTCCTCTTCGGCACTTGCAGGCACGAGTCTTTGTTCCCCTGTGTGTCTCCCTTCACAGCCCAGTAATTACTCCTCATAGTCCATAGAGTTCCCAAACTCCCAGACACCATCTGTCCACACTGAGTTGTATGTCTACTTAAAGTCCAATTGACATGCAAACTAAATGCAAACTACAAACAGAATTTAACAGCACATCACCAGTTTTAAGACACAATCCGTCAAACATTTCAGAGGACTATGAAGAAAATATATCTTACACTTGCAAATCATCAGACATAATGTCTGACATTCARTAAACCCTTTAATAGCCTATAGACATTTGCCTAGTACAAAATCTACTGACAATATCCTGAAAGTTTTCTTGATCTGTAGAGAACACAATATACCTATATGTAAGACAGGTACAGACACCAAAATAAGTAATAATGTAGAATTAAGGAAAAATTACAGGAAATATGAGTTTTAGAAGCAGATGACTGTTAATCAGTGGCTCCTAAACGGAAGTCACAAGTGCTCAGTCCCTACCTTCCCATGAACATGTCAACACATATTGTAAGAGACATTCCAATAGCCCTGATTTAATATTTGGTAAAAAAGTATCTGCTCTTAWAATTTTATAAAGGAGACAGAAGGGTCATTATCTGGAAAACCTAACACTAAAAACAGCTTCCAAAATCTAAGGATAAATGATTTAAACAAATAAGATGGATTCAAAAGTACTGTGACTTTTTTCATTCTGCTACTATCATCTTTTTTTGAATAAATTTTTCTCCTTACTAATTTCCTGGACTATAGAATTTTGGAACTACTATTTGGAATAACTTTCCTTTTGGGTATAAAGAAGAAAAGGGAACTCCTGATTCCCCTTCTCCGCATTGTCCAAAGGAGGGGAAGACGCGTTTGAAGGAACATCCAAACTTTAAGCGTGTCATTTCTATTCCAGTTGCAGGACACTAGGATTGTTTCTGCTTGCTTTTAACAAGACATATTGCTCTTTCTCTCCTGTGTTTTTTGGTCTGCACTTTCATCTGGAAGGGAATTTCCTCACCAAGTTAAAGTTTTAAGGAACTGCATGTTTTTTCCCTTCTGTCCAGGCCCTTTTGCAGTGTGAACTGGTGAATGAGACACTTCCACTGCAGGCCACCACTGCTTGAAACCATACTCTAATGCATGTGCCTATTTCTCGGTTTCCATGCCTATATCCACAGCTTCAGAGCTCTTTCTGAGGCCTGGGGTTCTACACTGTCCCAGCACCTTCCAGCGTAACACCTCATTTCTCACTAGCAATTCAAACTCTTCCATGCTCCCTAACCAAAAGCCAATGTGACCATCTCCATGTGCTGATTCCTTCCTCACGGTACGTACTGTTAGTGAGCAGGTGATTCTGCTGGAGAGGGCTGAGCGGATGGGCACTTCCAAGGCTTGACTGCCCCGACAGTGTGGCATGGCCAAGGCTGTGCTGTGAGCCGGTGGTAATGGGAGACTGAAGTTTCTCTTTATCCCAGGAAGATTCACTCCCACCTGCAAAAGAGGGACTGTGAATGGCATGTTCTTTCCATAAAAGCATTTTGGTTGGCTAGCAACTAATGCTCTAACAAAATCTACAGCCTCACACGAAAAAGCACCTGAAACCTACACCTAAAAAAAAAAAAGCCTTAAAATCAGGCAAAAAGTACAATTTGAAACTTTCAGCATCACCTACCTTCATGAAAACAGTTTCTGTAAACAGKAAAGAAGTTTAACGTTTAAGGATAAAATTGTCCAAGTAAACATCATTTATTTCACAATTAAGGATGGCAAGAAGGGAGCCCCTGAGTCTCCAAGTCGTCTCCTGCTGCTGCCGCAGCCCCTTCCACAAGCTGCTCAGCTTCCTTCTTATTCCTTATCTCTGTTACACCTGCTGGAAGGCTGCTCTAGCATCCCCTCCTTCAATGGCTAGAGCTCTCCTAACTTCCACCAACCAACCTTAAAAATGTATCTGGAGCAAAAAGGTATTCCAGATATATTCCTCTTCGCAGGTATGTCACACATCTTAAATTAGATTGCAGATTGTTATGAAAATGTGTAACGGCCGTATTGACATTGATTTGAATTTATGAACAAGAATTTCAATTAGAATAAGTAACAGATTATTGCGATGCAGCAGAGAGAGGCAGCAAGCAAAAAAAAAACATTTTAATTGAAGATGAAAGTAGCAGGAACATTCAACATTCTTTATGACAACACTTAGCTAATAAATGTGATTAATACTGCTAAATGCAGAAGTTTGAAAGATCAATGACTGAGAAAAAAGGAAATCACTCCATCATTTTAACACTATGTCCACGTAGGAATTACCTTCTATAAAAGATTTGTAATTTGTGAAATGACGAGTAATACATCGACAAAGAAAGATACACTGAATTATACTATATCATATAATGTGGCATAGCAGGGAAATTACAAGCACTAATATGGTGAGGTYTGTGTCAGCACTTTTAATATAAATTTATATTCTACATTCTACTCTTTCAACATTTGACTGATACTTAACATTCAGGTTTTTCACTATGAATACCGTGAAACAGTGGTATTATGTGGTAAAGTATTTCTTAAGTTAAAACCTATAATAAAATAACGTTTTGCTAAGGAAATGTTTGGTATCCAGTCTTTCCAAATGACTTTTATTTTTCTTCAGATGCYTTTTTAGTGAATTTGCATTTAACATCTACATTTTAAACCATTCTTTTCTGGAAAACATAGCCTTACATATGCTATGGCATAAATATTTTGCTTCGAAGCAGATTTTGTATGTGAGGTAACTTCGCATAGTTGGGCAGCAGCCATGAAAACTGAACAAGAAGGTTTGTCACAGAGCTCTTGGAAGGAAGGGATAAAACCACACTCCTCACCAGAAGAATTTCTCCAGTAATCTTCCCATCCCCTATATGTATAGGCCAAACTCCTCCTTTACTCATTACAAGTTACTCGTAYGCTTATTCCTAGATGTTTCACTTGGCTTTCCCAAAACCTCACTGATTTATCCATCAAATCTGTGCAGCCCCGAAGCTGTAATGYCAGAAGGCACAACTACATTTCCACGCTAAGGTTAAAACCTGTTGTATGTGATAGATAAAGTACTAATATTCCTCTTTACAGATCAGGAATTGCACTGAGAAGAAAACTGACTTGTCTAAGGCCATACAGGAAACCTGACTCTAACTTATATCTTAYTGTCCAAATCACTGGACTAGTTTTCCTTACAACTGCAACCTGTAAGAACCTTTTCTTCTGCAAATTCCACTCATAAATCTGTTCTTGTATTCAGTGCCAGCAACACAAGAATAAATTGCAATACACTTATCTCCAGCAGGCCATTCTTGCTCCCTATCACTTCTCCTTAGGGAAAGAAAAAATACTTTTGAGACTGTCCACATACAACAAAAGCGCATGTTAACTTAAATATTTTGCATAACCTGTCCTGCATATGTTATGTTATCTATGGGGTATACTGCAGGCTTTGTCATGCATGAATATAGTGGACAAATCCCTGAAAAAATCCCAAACACCCMGCAACCTTGGTTCTACATCCTATCTGTGGTATCATGAGCTTATAGGAGAAAGTAACAAACTTTATGATGTGAAACATGTAATATGAGATAGGGAAACAACAYAGTATGAGCCAGGAAAGTTTGATTTTTTCCGCTCTCAAATAGTTTGGTATTTGAAAAATCTTACACTAGGAAAAAGGAATTTCTTTGTCCCTACTAAGCTAATGAAAGTTCTGGTTGTTTATAAGACAGCAGATAAGCAGTCTAAAATTAAACAATGATCCATATTACTAAAGATAGATGAACTTCAAGCCATGTCTCCTAGGATGTGTATGAAGCAAGAGGGAAGAGCGGAAAAAACATATGACAAAGCCAACACATAACCCTGAAAGGAAAGATCAGACAACAGAAAACAGCAATGTGACTTAAACATCTAAAAATACTAATGAGTTGATTTGTGTCATTAGAACATTTTTGAAGTCCTCAGAAGTACGTTGACATGTCAAAATGCCAACACATCAGTTAGCTGCGCTATGAAAAGCTTTGCATTAAGTGCTATCACCCACTACTCATACGACCTTCTCCTCAACAGATAAAACTAAAGAACAAAAAGGTAATTTTTTCCTTATCTTGTTTGCATTCTAGTCGATCTTGTCCTAGAACAGGTCGTACTCAGCACTAGAAAGGGCAGGAGAGACAAGAACCCGGGAGCTGCCAAAGCTTCTCYGGCGCCCGGCCGCCCACAGGAGGCAGCGCGGGGGCAGCCGTGTCCTCGGGCAGAGCAACTCCAAAGGCAGGAAAGGGGATTTTAGCTGTGCAGCCTCTTAAAGAATGTGTCGGCAACCCCGTAAAAGCGAACTGAAGGTTTGGCCTGCTTCAACTACCTCCCCACATAGAAAAGGTGATGCACGATCCTCGTTATCCCGTTCAGATTTGCTTTGTTGAAAGGAAAAAGGCCTTTGGATGGTTTGCGCTGTCTGTGCCTGTGTACACAGAAAAGTTGCACGTGCTCCAAGGGACACAGAGGGATCACGGAATCACAGAATGGCCGAGGTTGGAAGGGACTTCTAAAGGACCAACCCCCCTGCTCCAGAAGGAAGAGTAAAGCTGAATGGATTTGGCAAAAAAAAAAAAAAAAAAAAAAAAAAAAGAGTTATTTACAATACATAAGCCTTATATTTACAATATAAGAATATATAAGCCTTATATTTACAATATAAGCCTGGCACTTCGCACTCTGAACAGGTTACCTGGGCTAGCTGATCTCTCAGGGCATGAATGACACTCATGTTCAACTAGGTAAAACTAACGCAACAAACCCTAGTCTATTAACTTCTAAATTACACTGCCATGAGAAGCAAGAATTCCCTTAATACCATCTTACAGTTAAATGTTTTCTAATAGTCAGCCTCTCTGGGCATACACGTTCTTCAAGACAAATCATAAAAACTTTTTTTTTTTGTGAAGATATATTTGTGAAGATTAAATTAGCGTTTTAGTTTTATGTATTGMAAGATCTCCACAAAGTAATCAAAGTTCTATTTGGTGACAGTTTCTTTTCATTTGATTTCAAATTCATTTTATCAGCTTTAAAACTGAATGGCTACCTAAATGAAATCCACTCTGGCAGAGGTACCTTTGGATTGAACCACCACACTGCTTCAATCTATGTCTGTCATTTTATTTTTTTGCAGTGATGCATTTCTGAAAAATTGAACTCAAATTGTTAAAAGCAATACCATCTTTACTGTCCAMTTTTATTCTAAAACTATTTTTAAGCACATTTTTCACGTTATCATCCATATTAAGCATGAGCTGCAGAGACAGAAAGTATTCAGCACTTTGCTATTCAGCGCTGATAATTCTGAAGTATTATTGCCACTGAATTCGTCTATCAGTGCCCCCCACACACTTAAGTCCTATGAAATTTTGGGGACTATCTAGATCCCATAATTCCTAAAAAAAATGCTTTGCATATAAACTGGTGAACATACTCAACAGAGCAGCAGGTTGTGATTCTTGCATACACTTTTTATCCTTTTCCTAATGTGTTAAAATTCTCCATGTGGTCTGCCGAATACGTAATTTCAATAAGRGAAAATTACTGCAATATTACAATCACTTATCTATATCCCCATTTAGCCTCATGAAGCAATACTCACATTCTAATGAAATACTGTGCTAGGGTCTATCACGTGAGGTGCCTTACAGTATTTCAGCAGTTAGTGACCCTACATAAATATATATATGGGTTTTTAGTGCTCAAAGCAGTGATACCCTGTATTTGTGATGTGGCAGACAAAAAAGGATTTTCCATGCATTTTGCAATAATTAAGCATAAGAAAAGAACAAGGAATTGGTCAGAGAAGAAACATGAGATTCCGTTGGAAGGATTTAAAGCCTCCTGTGGAAATCCTGCCAGAAAAGAAATATTGCTCATCTGTGTTATCTGGTCACCTTAGAACAACTGGACATCTAAACTAACACCACATTTAAACGCTGATTACAAGGTGGCCTAACCTTCTTCCCAATCATTTTCTACCTGCCTCTATGCATACATACCACATCTGTGTTACTCTGGGCAAGATACCAAATACTCTGACAAATCAGTCACAAATTCCGGGCATATGATCACAATTTAGTCACAGCAAGGGCAGCGCATACCTGACATTAACACTTTGGGCCTATCCGACAGCATTCAGAGACCCACCTTTTTCAAGTGTCTCAGACAATTTGCTCCTACCAATATCCTATTCTCGTACTGATGTTGGGAAAGGAACAGTCACAGTTTGGGGCCTCACAGAATATTCTGTGTCTGTCAAAAACACTTGAGTCAACAACTTCTCATCAACTCTCTTCATGTTATCAGAATCTGAATGTTCCAGGAAGAGAAGATAGGCAGAAAAACAGTTTTTCAACAGTATCTGATGGAAAATCAGGCTTCAATGCCAAGCAGAAGCCCAGAAAGCCCATATACATCTCAACAGAATG